GGAGTTCATTGATTTTCTGCTGGGGGCAACTCAATCAAAAATCCAAAACGAAGCTGAAGAAGAAAACAGGAATCTGGAAGCATAAAACCAAACGAAGAACTTGGGAAAACGCGCACGGCGGTGGCACTCTATTAGCACCTCTAAAGCACAATTTACAACAAACATTTACAACTGTCAATTGGCAACAAAGCCGGCTAAGGGTACATACACACATATAGTGGCCAACGAAGAGATCGGCCAGAAATTAAGGATACAGGTCACCCATCGCGGCACAAAGGGACCGCCGGTCTTGGGATCTCGATGAGATGGTTTTTCGGGAACTGGCCGCTGACGAATTGCCGGCAATTAGTTAGCATTAAACAACAACTAATGGGTGCCATTGATGAGGACGTGCATCAAGAACCTTTCAATAGCATACATACACGAGTATATGAATGCACACAAGGCACACAATCGTATCTGTCACTGGGCATACAAACGCGTACATACGGTTTAAAAAACGAAATTAATAAAAATTTCACTTGAATTGACAAAGTGCCCGAACGCCGTGACGTTCAACTGACGACAAGTGCCACTTGACAAGCTGCCGAACTTGAAATTTTTTCATTTCAATATTTCATTGTTACCCCCGGCAAATAGCCGTCATATATACGATATACCCGGCATATAGAAGTCCGACTCCTGATCTGGCTCGATTCGCTCGATTCGCTCGATGGGTTACCTGTCCGCCAGCCTCGTCCCACAGCTGGCGATTAATCTTGACATTGAGTTGCTGCAGAGCCAGATGCAAAGACAATGGCCCAGTGGCATATATAAATTCGATTTCTCGTCCATAGCTGTTGACAATAAATAATTTAGCCATCTATAATGGCCCGCTGATGAGTGCTGTTTGGCCTGTGAGCCGGAGACGCTCCCACAGTGTTCCCACCGCCGATTGCATGCGAGATTGAGATCATTATCATGGCAGTTCACGTGCAGCGCACGCGGCCGGTGGAAGGACAAGTGCCAGGACTCGTAATCCAGGACATGTAATGGGATGTGCGAGCAAATAGATTCCCAGGCCGCTTGACTGGTGCTTCACGACAAGTGCGGGTCATCATAATCATCGGCATCATCATCGAGCTTATTACAAGCGACCGCAACTACTTTAATTACACTGTTAGCCGCAGGCAAACTACACTGGCAAACACAAGGCTAGGGCGGTAAATCTGGAGGCTTTTTGTAATATCTTACTTATTCTGATCACTGATGAGAACTGAAGAAAATATCAGCATAAAGCTGCAATAAAATACATTATAATACTGGTACTCATAAGTTATTATTAGTTGGTAGGCCAAATACGACCTAAGAATTCGCGCACACTGAAGCTTAAGTACGTGTTTCCCTGTAGTCCAGTGTAAGCTGAGGTTAATAACTGTAGCACGCCGTGGGCGTGGGAGGCGGAGGTGGGCGTGCCCGCTTACCAATTGTAATGCAAAGCGCGCGCGCGTGTGTGGGTGAGTGGAATGGAGTGGAGTGTGGGGAGGTGGAGTAGGGGGAGTGGAGTTCGAACCAGGACCCTTGGGCGTATTGCAAAATTCAGTTTCGCTCGATGGCGAAGCTGGGCGTCTCGCCGCTCAAGTGCCAGCCCGCCGGGCTATTGACAGAAATCAAAACGGGTAAGAATGGGCGGAATCAGTGGGTTCAGTGGGCTAAATGGCAAGCGCTGGCCAGATTTTGTGCCTCCTGCGACTGCCCCTTTTTTCCACTCGGTTGAGATGACGGCTTATCAGGGCATCAAAACAAATTCGTTTGAAATTAATTCGGAGATTTGCTTTCATTAGGCGGCTTGCCGGGTGCAAAGTATGTAACTGCGTTGGCAAACACAATGGAGAAACCACCGAAACAGCGTGCGGCTAATCCCTAAGCCAAACTTTTGGCTGCTGGAAGGTCGTTTCAGGTCCAAGTTTCGCCACTTTCCACCCCCCGCCGACACGTGCCCCTCGATTGTTACATGCCACACACCACCCCCACCCAACCAGCCCTTTCGATTGTGCTCCGGAATCGCTTGTCGAGCTGCGTCATCACTTTGAATTTCTGGCGAAGAGCCGGGCATGTTGCTCCTAATGCGACAGTTTAATTGCAGGTGAGGCGCACCGGGTCGCGTGGCCAGGGAAGCGCCGCTGATGCAATTAGACAGCCAACGACTTTCCCATTGTCCTGCCGTGACTTCTCCATTCTCCATTGAACCGCTTGTGTGCGGGCGGGCGGTCCTCCTGGTGTCGCTTTCCCGATTCAGTGGCTTCTGCCTTCATCCAGTCCTGCTGTGCGGGTGCAGTGCGGCACACCTGGATGAAGCTCTTTTCCGACTCGATGGCGATGACTTTCTAACAGCTTTTGGTTGGGATCAGGGGATCACTTCCGCTATCTGCGGAAGTGTGCCAATTCTAATTGAATATTTAGAAGAATTTATGAACAATCCATAGTATGATATTAATATAAATTACAACTTATAAATATAATAATACAGCTTGGATATAAATCAGCCGCCAAAGTTTTTCCCTGGGTACAGCAAGGGTCAATTAACCCGTCGTTATTTTGAGAACTTATTCTCAGGGACTCGCCCACAGGACGAAATTGATCAAAGGCCTACCTCCGCCGAAAAGCACCGACCAAAAACTTGGGTTCCCATTCCATCCTCTGGACAGAAAAAACGGAAAAACTTTCTCACATTACATCACGGACCAGTGAGGACGGCTAAAACAACAAGGACAAGCGACTGGAGCGCTCTAAATGGACACCGAACAACATCGTTTAATATTGATGGCCATTGTTTGAGCGCTTTATGATGGGAAAGTGAGGCCATCTCCGTGCCACTGCCTACGCTTTTCCACCGGACCACGTTGTTGGTGTTGCCGGTTCAAGTGAATATTTAATTAAATTGTTTTCTAATAACCACGCGCTACTTTGCTGGACGCAAAACACGCGTCCGCAAGCGGCGAACGGCGGGCAGGACACGCGGCAATCGGACCAGGACACACCTTGTTGTGCCAACAACATTAGCAGGGGCCGAAATAAAAAAAAATATGCTGAAAACGAGAGCCACCCCTTTTTCGCTGCGTATCCTGGTTCTAATTTTCCAAATTACGCACCATCAATCATCGCTAGCTTTGACGAACGTCGATGGCGAAGTGGATGTGAATGTCGATGTGGGTGATGTTGATGATGACGTTAGGAACTACCCCCACCTTATCTAACCCACCTAGACCATCCCACCCAATCCTGTCCAATCCAGTCCCATGGCGCAATCACTTGAAGCGAGCAACGCTGCGGCAGCCGCAAGTAGAAATTAAATTAAACTTCAAGTGGCCGCAAGGACCTGCTGAGTCCTGAAATCCTACAGTCCTGAATCCAGAGACCCTTAACCCGTAGCCATGGGAAGCTGTGCCGCTCCGGCTGTTTTCCATCGTAATTAACGCTAATTGCGTTTGGTCATAAGCCGCAGTTTTTGACTTTTCCACGTGTTCCTCGGATTGTCCACAGGATTTTCCCACCTTAATCCTTGGCCATGGCTGTGTTTTTGTTATGGCTTGACTTTGGCTGACGAAAATATTGGTATTGCATAAATAAGCAATAGATAATGCTGATCGGAAGTGATTAGAGTTTGCAGGGTTTTCTTGGGAATCCTGATCCCAGCGAGACTTTAAAATCGAGACCCCGTCCATCTGGTAATTGAGAATGCACTCCGGCTAATGAAAGCGGTCATCGTGATGGGAAGTGACCAAATTGGCTGGACAGAGTGGGCTCAGGGATTAATATCGCAGTGCAATTAAGAGCTCAATCACTGTGACTCGACTCGGGTCTTGTTTGCCTCTCTCTGATTACATTTATGAAATTATTATTGATGTTTGGCACTGACCACCACAGCCCACAGTACATAGTCCATAAATGGCACACCCCCTCCATCTTGCCCTCATAAGCCACCCCGTTTCTAATTTTGTTGAGTAGCCCTAACTCCAATGGCTTGGACATCGCCTCGGCCGGAATCGACAGGCCATTTTGATTGAAATGCAGACACAAATGCTGGCAGGCAGCCATTAAGCTGCTCCGATCTATACATAAGTATGGTCATGTAAGGGACCACAGCGGGGGGTAAAAAAAAAGGACACCAAGTATACGTTTAGTATCAATCCATCGTTAAAGTTCATATGAAAAAAGACGTGAAGAGAAAATAAATTTAAAACTAGTTTATAATTTGCTGAAACTCTTAATATTATGCCTAACCAAAAGGACTATTGGTACGACCGCAGCTGTATGTGCATCCCACATCCTCCCACACTAATCTGTATTATGTACACAGTTGATTTGCCTGCCACTCACTCGCCCAGTCCCGACCCAATTCGTCCACATCCTCGCCCAGGACTCGCCTACATAAGTAACGCCACATATGATTTCATTCATATGCCGAAGAACTATGCTCCTCCCTTTCAACAAGCCGCTCATTGATTTGCAATGCCTAAAATGTTTCAGCCTGATGATGGGCCCGTCCACATCCTATGCCCCACAAAATCGCCCAGCAACCATCAACCATCACCCATCACCCATTGCTGTTGCTGTTCCGCTCTGCCTAACTGCCAAACATTCCCAAATGCCGAAGTGCGTGTCTTTCTCTGGGTGTGTGTGGTGTGTTTGCCATCGTTTTTGGAAATATTATATGCTCATACCTCCGTTTTCGAGTAAATTGTGTAAATATTTGCGCTCGTAAGTGGATTGGAGATGGATGAGTCTATCAACAGAGAAGTTGGCGTTGGCAGAGCCGTTGGCATCGCCATCATCATGTGCGTATGGGTTGGCACTGCTGCTCCTCCCTATCCATGCCCATTTCCATTCCGCACCCTCAGTTCCCCAGTTATCCTCCCTCGTGGAATTTTGGTACACATTCGTGGGCGCATTTACCTTCCGACTTCGGCCCAAGGCCCACATGCAGCTTGTTGCATTACAGAGAATGGCTACTTGGAAGCTCCACAATTTGACAAAGAATTTATTTCCCTATTACATTGACAGCAACGAGTGCACAGCCGAGAACTCGCTCACTTAGCCATTTACGAGTATAAAAACAATTCAGCCTATTTGGTGGACTTTTTGTCGGTTTCCTTCTCTGGTTCGCTTTCCGTAGTCTCCTCCTCTTCCTCTTCCTCATCATCATCATCGTCTTCATCACTTTCATCCTCGTAGTCTCCATCGGACTCATCTTCATCATCATCATTGCCGTAGGAGTAGCCACCGCTGGCGCCACCACCATAATAGCCACTGCCACTGGCTCCATAGTATCCACCGTATCCCTCCTCGTCGTCGCTGTTGCCTCCTTGTTGCTGGCGCCCGAATTTGTGTGACCGCGTGGACATGCTGAGGTCCTTGGTCACCGAGGTATCGTAGTTGCACTTGGGGCACGGAATCGGCTTGTTCTTGTCGTACTTAAAGCCCTTGCGACGCACATGATCCTCGCAGTAGCACGTCTTGCAGCGCAGGCAGGAGTACTGGCCTAGCTTGTTGCACGATTGACACTTGTAGTTCTCCGACTCCAGCACCTGGAATTGAATGGATTGAATTACCAAATGCGAGCCAGTTGGGAGCAAAACTTAATGGGTATTTTACAGATTTCTTAGCTTACAAGTCCCAATTAGCAAACTAGGCGATAATTTGGTTACCCACCTGACAACTGGCCTGGTGCTCGAACTGATCGTCCTCGCACAGGAATCCGTTGCAGAAGGAGCACTTGAAGATACGGCCGCCGTGCTCCCAGACACCGCGTTCGCACTCCAGGCAGGTTGCATTCTGCAGCGGACACGTGCAGGCGTGGTTCTGAAGGCATTTGCGTCCGTGGCAGACCCACGCCTCGCAGAAGTCGCAGATGGCGCCCACCATTCCGAGGCCCGTGGTGTAGACTCCCGGATGCTTGACCACACAGTCGCCGGTCTTCAGCATGCACTTGATCTTCCCGCACTGGGCGCAAATGGGTAATCTCTGAATGCTCTGGCAGAAATAGCAGAAGGCCCTCGACTTCTGCTTCTTCTCGCACTTGTCGCACTCCATCGGGGCATTGCAGGGCAAGTCCGCTAGGGGCACCTCCCTGCTGCGGATCTCCTTGAGACGAAGCTTCTGCTTCTCGGCCTTTTTACGCTGCCCAGTCTTCTTTTTCGGCATTTTGGAAATCGAACTGGAAAACTTATTTCCTTACGTGTGCGGCAGTGTGGCTGTAGCAGGTGCGGCGAAAAAAACCACAAAAAGCTTTCGAATTTACCGCCGAAATATGTAGCTACATCTTCAAAATAGATAGAATGATATAAACCTAGGGCGAAATTCACTTGCAATAAGTCAAGTGCATGTAAGAAATTATGCAAAGCCTTAGATGTCCAAGCTTCTGTATACCAATAGCATTGTACTCATCGAAAATTTAAAAATAGATTTTCAATGGAAACACGTCATTAATGGCTGTGGTATTAACTGGTTGGAACTACCCTTACTGGTATTTTGTAAAAGTTGACCTACGGTCTGTCGGCAAAAATATATATACGGCTTTTAATGTCACTGTGAAATAAATTTTCACTTTAAGCAAAAGTCGGCTACAGCTAGTGTCGGAATATTTTCATATATTTTCTTTAAAAATATTATATCAGTGAAGTTAAGATAAAACTAATCGCTGCGAAATGGGTGGACACGACAACTGGAACAACGGCCAACATGAAGATGACGATGTAAGTTGCGTTCAAAACCGCGTAATCTCTCCCTGGCGAGCGATAGCCCCAGTTGGGTCATATAAAACTGTCAGTATTGCTTGCTGCTTCAATTTTTTAACGCAAAAGTCGGGTTCAAGAATGCACACATACATGCGTTTTTAAGGCAAGGTTAAAAAGAAGGGTAAAAAATTGTAATAGTATTTTATTGTTAAGGGTATTCGCCGACTTGCTTGTCGTTTATCGCCTATGTACATACATATATCGAATAGCCGCTGTTTTTTATTCGTGCCATGAAACGGTCACATTGCATTCAGTTTTTTCATTCGCCGCGTGTGTCGGGGACTTTCTCCACTTGCAAAAGCAAAAATAGTTAGAATAATATTAATTTAACGTTTCAATAGTAAAATGGTGAATTCGAACCAGAATCAGAACGGCAACTCCAACGGCCATGATGATGTAAGTAGTGCATATTAAGGGTCTAGAAATTTCCTGCAAACTAGAGTCTCGCTTTACCGGTAGCCATTTTGAAAATTACGCATGTGTCTCACGGGCGAAAACTGAGGTTAAGTACGGCCATTGATAAAATCAATAATTTACGATTTTCCTTAGGACTCCATCACCGAGCCGGAGCATATGCGCAAACTGTTCATCGGTGGCTTGGACTACCGCACCACCGACGAGAACCTGAAGGCGCACTTCGAGAAATGGGGCAACATCGTGGACGTGGTGGTCATGAAGGATCCGCGCACGAAGCGATCCCGTGGCTTTGGGTTCATCACCTATTCCCACTCGAGCATGATTGATGAGGCGCAAAAGTCGCGTCCCCACAAGATCGACGGTCGAGTGGTGGAGCCCAAGCGGGCTGTTCCCCGTCAAGACATCGATTCCCCGAACGCCGGAGCCACCGTAAAGAAACTGTTTGTGGGCGCCCTTAAAGACGACCATGATGAGCAGTGCATCCGCGACTACTTCCAGCACTTCGGCAATATTGTCGACATCAACATCGTCATGGACAAGGAGACTGGCAAGAAGCGTGGATTCGCCTTTGTCGAGTTCGACGACTACGATCCCGTGGACAAAGTTGTCTGTAAGTAGAATTTTCCTTATCAAGACAACATCGAGTATGATTTAAAAAGTGCGAAAGTAGCATCCTAGGATAATTACAGGAGCACATTGTCAGATTTATACAATATTAAATTACCTGTATTTTCTCTTCCTATGAAGCAAACAATTAGCATAGGATAGGAATATGTAACTTATGATGTAAACTGTATGTAAATATTAACCCCATTAGTGCACGCGGCGTTTCTGTGTAACAGCCACAAAACCGACGGCTCGGCTTGCAACAACCCCTAATTTACAGCTCAATCAGCTTCAGTCAAATTGTAAGGTTTCTCGTAAATGTCCCTCAGCGTCGGCTAAATGAATCCATTTATAATATATCCACAGTCCCAGCTCCGCATAGCAATGTTCGATGTGCTCTTGCGGCGTTTGTGACTGTAAGATAAAATCCCAGCCAGTATTATATCATTGTTGTTGGTGCTCTTCGTGCATCAACGATGAAAGAGTATTTGGCACACTATAGCTTGAATCTAAAAATGTATCCTTGAAATCACAGTACTGACAAATTAACTGGTTTGAAAACCTCACCAGGGTAGTTTTTTTTTTAAACGCTGTGAGATGAATAAAGCGTCGGCTAAGCTATGTTATGCGAATGTAAGCATTGCGCCTATTCAGTGTAACACGCAGCCTCGTTACAATTGTAGAATTAATTCTTATTGTGTAAACTGATCCCACAGTCCCAGCTCCGCATAGCAATGTTTGATGTGCTCATGCGGCGTTTGTGACTGTAAGATGAAAGCCCAGCCCATATTATATCGTGTTGTTGGTGGTGTTTGTGCATCAACGATGAAAGAGTATAAGGCACACTATCACCTTGATTATCGAACTGATTAAACAGGAAGATTTTCTATATCAGCTCCTTCGTGGGCATCACAGTACTGACAAATTGACGGGCATGAAACAGTCGCCTGTATAGTTTTTATTTAAACGCTGTGAGATGAATTGAAGCGTTGGCTAAGCTATGTTATGCGAATGTATATTAAAAACCAGTTCTGTGTAACACGCAGCCTCGTTACAACTGCACATCAAATGTACCGAATGGTGAATGTACTAGCGTGAATATCTATCCTAATTTTAGCTACGATTCCACAGTCCCAGCTCCGCATAGCAATGTTTGATGTGCTCGTGCGGCGTTTGTGACTGTAAGATGAAATCCCAGCCAGTATTATATTATTGTTGTTGGTGGTGTATGTGCATCAATGATGAAAGAGTATATGGCACACTATCCTACAGATGCACCGTGTAGGGAAATTATATTTTTGGACCCCACTAATGGAATGCTTCCCTTCTATCTTTGCAGTGCAAAAACAGCATCAGCTGAATGGCAAAATGGTGGACGTGAAGAAGGCCCTGCCCAAGCAAAATGACCAGCAGGGAGGCGGTGGAGGACGCGGTGGTCCGGGAGGTCGTGCCGGTGGAAACCGCGGAAACATGGGCGGTGGCAACTACGGCAACCAGAATGGTGGTGGGAACTGGGTAAGAACTTAATGATAGCCTTCAATTCGAATTGTGGCTTATGGCTGGTTAATTGACATTGCAGAACAACGGTGGCAATAACTGGGGCAACAACCGCGGGGGTAACGACAACTGGGGCAACAACAGTTTCGGTGGCGGCGGCGGTGGCTACGGCGGTGGCAACAACAGCTGGGGCAATAATAATCCGTGGGACAATGGCAATGGAGGCGGCAACTTTGGTGGCGGCGGCAACAACTGGAACAATGGTGGCAATGATTTTGGAGGATACCAGCAAAATTATGGCGGCGGCCCTCAGCGAGGTGGCGGCAACTTTAACAACAATCGTATGCAACCCTATCAAGGAGGTGGTGGATTCAAAGCAGGTGAGCAATAGAACATCCATTGCTGTATTGATTACAACTGGATAACAGACACAGTACCCTGACACCTAACTGTTAGAGCGTCGATAGAGTTTGGCAGTTAGCTTATTAAACGCTGTGAGATCAACCGACGATGGCCTTCGCTATGTTATGCGTATGTAAGATAATCCCAGTACGACGTAACACGCAGCCACGTTACAGATTTTGTTAATGAATAGTCACCACCAGTGTGGTGTAGAAACTAGACTAGAAAGACAACGATTGGATGTGCTCCTAACGATCCTGGGTTTTTTTTTTTAGGCGGTGGCAATCAAGGCAACTATGGCGGCAACAATCAGGGCTTCAATAACGGTGGCAACAACCGAAGATATTGAGAGAGGTACCAGACGAGGTGAGACATCCGAATAACCACTACTAACACCTAGATATACATAGTCCAAGGCGAAGTCAGACCATTAACCAACCAAACGCTAATCTATCCCGTATGACCATTAATCTTTCGTTTGATTTGACAATCATATGTTGTGCTTTTTTTTAATAGCGCCCTTATCGGCATTTTTTGGTAGTTTATATAACAGCATATTGAGACTAAAAAGCAAAACGGCTAAGACAGTCCGACCCACCTTACTCAACCAACTTAAATACGTATTTACACTTTAAAGTATTTAGAGAACAAAAACCCATCAACCAATTAAGAACCCCTTTTGCATACCAATTGTTTTAAATAACGTTTCTCATTTATCGACATTTTATAGGTGATAAAGTAAAAGTCGCTCAGTATAAGCCCAAAATTCAAAGTCAAGTAAACGATACGCAATTCAATGATCAATATGAACAAGTATGAACGCACGTTCATAGACCTAAGAAGTTTTCCGAGCACCACAAACCAAACATTACAGAAGAGAGGAGAGCAGATTGATTGATCAGGATCAGTGCAGTGCAGTGAAGTCGTAAGGAGTTTGGTTCAGTCTTGGATTAGAACAGAAAGAGATATCAGTACCAAGCCAGACCAGACCAGAACAGTGCAGTGCATAGCAGTGTGTGAGCTAAGCAGAAGAAACACAGCAAGTGGCAGTACACGTACACAGCAGCTGGCCAGGATTCCATTCGATTTGTCTTTGCACACGGTGATTGATTGATTATTAAGAGGCGCATATAATACTATCCAATACCCATAGAATTGTAATCTATAATTTCACATTGTAACATTGTAATTAGAGCAACAAAGCCGACGACAGGCCAAAAATTTGTATCTCCACCACACAAGCAACCTATTTAAATCCAGTCATAAATGAATCAGCTATGTAAAACTTCAAGGCGGCAGCCGAGAGATATGTTTATTTGTATGTAGACAGCTCCTCCAGTCCACCGGCTGCTGGCAACTTTTGATAATCAGAGCAGAAAACACAAAATATATAAAAACATGTATTACATTTTACAACTTTACTAGGCTAAGTTCTCATAGAATTAAATCGAGTAGAGCGTGCGGGGCGAATTCTGCATCCATCCGCACGCTGCCCTAGACTTAATAATTTTACTATTCAAGTTCTAAGCGAACCTGACCGTGTGTGGAGGAACCTAGATCTAGATACTTAGATTTTTGAAT